AAAAATTTATCGATGACACACTGATAACTCTGATAACTGAAGAGACGAATAGATACGCACAACAGACTTTAGCTAAAAATGCTACAAATAATACGACTGACAAATGGACCGCTGTAACTGCTGATGAGATAAGGGTGTTTTTAGCCATTATCATAATGCAAAGTGTAGTGAAAAAACCAGAAATGAAAATGTATTGGTCTAAGAATCCATTAGTCACTACTCCATTTTTCCCGAAAGCTATGTCATGCAAACGGTTTGAAAGCATCAAACGATTCCTACATTTTACGAACAATGAAACTTACAATCCCGATACGCACCCAAATCCGAAATTGAACAAAATTTTTCCAATTTATGAACTATTGGTGAAGAAATTCCGTGAGTTGGTTGTCCCAGATAAATATATAACAATTGATGAAAGTCTTTTATTGTATAAGGGGCGATTGGGTTGGATTCAGTACATACCACTAAAAAGAGCACGGTTTGGGATCAAGACTTACATGCTGTGCGAGTCTAAAAGTGGCTACGTGTGGAATTTCATCATTTATACAGGTCAGGGAACAATAATTGATCCTGATTTTCTTCATTTGAATCTAGTGTCTGCTAAAGTGGTTATGTCTCTCTCTAAAGAACTTTTAGGGAAGGGATATTGCCTAACCATGGATAATTTCTATAATAGTCCGCAACTTGCTGACTTGCTATTGCAACACAAAACGGATGTATATGGTACATTGAAATTGCAAAGAAAGGAAGTTCCAGAAGGGCTACGGAGAAAGATTCAGAGAGGCGAAATAATAGGTTATCAACGAGGAAAAGTTACTGTTATGAAATGGAGAGATAAGAAAGATGTATGCTTATTATCAACGGTTCACAATATCGACACCCAAGAAGTGGCAACAAAGTCAGGACCAAAGAGAAAACCAAAGGCTGTAATGCAGTATAATGACACGATGGGGGGTGTTGACCGTGTAGACCAGCATTTAGCTGATTATGCTTTGCCGAGGAAACGGGGCAAGAAATATTATAAGAAAATATTTTTCCATCTTCTTGATCTTGCCCTATGGAACTCTTTCGTCCTTTATAAAATGGAAGGTGGTAAAAAATCGGCACTTACATACAGATTAGATATTGTCAAGTTGTCGATGGAAAAGTACCACAAGATGGAGTTTTCAGCAAAAAGAGGTCGACCGTCTACAGTTCTACCTCCATCTCGCCTAACTGGGCGTCATTTTCCAGAGTATATACCAGCTACTGAGAAGAAGGCCAACCCCACAAGACAGTGCGGAATTTGCAGCAGGGTAAGGGACGCAAGAGGCAAAAAAATTCGGCGAGAAAGCAGATACTGGTGTCCAGACTGTGATGTAGCTTTGTGTGTAACCCCATGCTTCCGTGTTTACCACACAGTGGCAAACATTTGAATTGAGCCGTTAGGAATCAATTTCCGAGCTTCCAGGTTAGGGATTTTCTGTTTTTATTTGTTTTTTCTTATATGTTCACTCAGAATTCAAATATGTATATGCTCACTGACTTGTATATACTAATTTTCTTGAAGTAATACTTGTTTCTTATTATGTACTAGTGCCCGTATTATCTCGGGTTAGAGAATTTGTATATTTTCAATAAATTATTACCCCACTCTAAATAACTTTTTTCAATTTTTTTTGTCAGACGGAGATTCGGTAATAAGTTTTTTCCAGAAAACACATTAAAAAAAAATAGAACTTAAATTGGTTGACATACAGAAGAAAAATTGAGCGTTAAGCGGTTAAAAGAATACAATATGAAGCGGCATTACTCCAGCAAGCATTTCGCTCAATATAATTTACTCACGGGCCAGTTAAGAAAGCGTAAAAAATTTTTCTTGCCTACAGCCCGCGACCTGATTAAGTCTCGAAATTACGCCCTCAGCTAAACAAGGATTGCCCATACCTGCTATAAAATATAGGTAGAGCGTCCTATTAAAAAGGTGTTATAGGTCTGTCAAACATGGCTCAAAAAATAGAAAATTGGCAGAAAAGTTTCATCATTTTGGGATACAGTGTGTTTTTTTAAAAAAAAGTATTTTACTCACGACATAGGTTTTTACTATTAACTACAGCAACTAGAAGGGCCAAAAAAATCAATTTAAAGAGAAACGTGAAAGTCTCCGATTTGATTTATCCTACAATTGCATTATTTATTTACTTCGAAAACGTAGGAACACATTTCTGAGACATAGCAGTGCAACAGGTGCTCCTAGTTAACGCTATGGCAACGACAGCGTTACAATCCCCAGAGACCGGTCTATCGCGGGTTTCAACAGTCCAAACGGCGTTACATAAGACCAATTTACCGGCGCATTATCAATACCAGCGAGATATCAAGGCAATTAGCTGTGGAACGGTCGCGATAAAATTCCGCGTCGGCACAAAAATCGAAAGTAATTTAATTTCAATAAAATCAAGTTGTCTGCCAATGGCGGCTAACAATCATAGATTGTTGACATTTGTTTTCCATTCTTTATTCGGATCGGGTAGCGAAGACGGCCTTGCGGGGCCGCGCCCGTCTGCGCTTAGAATCACAATCGAATCGCCTCAGAAAACTTGAAAAAGTCGAAAGCTTTCTTCCTGCATGCCCACCTGGGTGCGCTAGACAAGGACGGGCGACACGGAGCGGTCCGCTAGATGGGTGCTACGCCGCCCGACACGGAAAATGCCACTTTTGGGACGCCACGGATATTTCTACAGGGTGTCAAAATAATGTCATAGTAGAAACCAATACGATTTTCTTTTTTATTTCATTGTCATGTCAACAAAATACTCTTGTTAGTAGAACTGTCATAATTGGCCGCGCACCATAGGCGTGCGGATCATCGACATAAAATATACTGAACAATGATTATAACATTTATGTCATTGTATCATTGTGAAACACGTAAATTGTTTTAGGCATCGTTGCCATCGGTTCCACAATCTGGATGAGATCCGTTATAGATCGCATCATCATTATTCGCGGCGGTGTCAAATATCTTAATCTGAAGAGAACGACCATTTGACATCTACTGATGTAATATTTGCATAATGAAATAAAGTACTTCCAAGCTGTTGCGACATGGTAATTTCTACTCGTGGTTGTATTTATTCCAGGAGAAAGTAAGCTACGTGCAATCAGTATGAAAATTAAACCAAACATAAATTGGAGTCCTTGTTTTCGGCCAGTGCATATGCACTGTTTAACACTTATTACTTTATGTTTATTAATATTTATTTTAAACGTTTTTAATAACGTATTATTATGATTTTTTGGATGTGTTTTCTTTTAATTTTAATTTTGTATTATTTTATTTTATGTTATGGGCGCCTTTATTTTATTTAAATTTGTTATTATTTGAATATTTGAAGGTTTTAGATATTCGATTATGGAGAGCAAACTCAGGATGAGGGTTCCAAATTATTTTTATTATTTATCTTTTTTGTTATTTATTTGCAATTGTTGTACTAACTCTAAATAAATGAAATTTCCGCCTTAAATCTATTGTTACAGTGCTAAGATATGTTTTTTATACTGCAAACATGTCAGTGTTTCAAAAATGAAATTTTGTTTTTTGTCATATGCAAATGGACGAAAANAATAGTCCGCAACTTGCTGACTTGCTATTGCAACACAAAACGGATGTATATGGTACATTGAAATTGCAAAGAAAGGAAGTTCCAGAAGGGCTACGGAGAAAGATTCAGAGAGGCGAAATAATAGGTTATCAACGAGGAAAAGTTACTGTTATGAAATGGAGAGATAAGAAAGATGTATGCTTATTATCAACGGTTCACAATATCGACACCCAAGAAGTGGCAACAAAGTCAGGACCAAAGAGAAAACCAAAGGCTGTAATGCAGTATAATGACACGATGGGGGGTGTTGACCGTGTAGACCAGCATTTAGCTGATTATGCTTTGCCGAGGAAACGGGGCAAGAAATATTATAAGAAAATATTTTTCCATCTTCTTGATCTTGCCCTATGGAACTCTTTCGTCCTTTATAAAATGGAAGGTGGTAAAAAATCGGCACTTACATACAGATTAGATATTGTCAAGTTGTCGATGGAAAAGTACCACAAGATGGAGTTTTCAGCAAAAAGAGGTCGACCGTCTACAGTTCTACCTCCATCTCGCCTAACTGGGCGTCATTTTCCAGAGTATATACCAGCTACTGAGAAGAAGGCCAACCCCACAAGACAGTGCGGAATTTGCAGCAGGGTAAGGGACGCAAGAGGCAAAAAAATTCGGCGAGAAAGCAGATACTGGTGTCCAGACTGTGATGTAGCTTTGTGTGTAACCCCATGCTTCCGTGTTTACCACACAGTGGCAAACATTTGAATTGAGCCGTTAGGAATCAATTTCCGAGCTTCCAGGTTAGGGATTTTCTGTTTTTATTTGTTTTTTCTTATATGTTCACTCAGAATTCAAATATGTATATGCTCACTGACTTGTATATACTAATTTTCTTGAAGTAATACTTGTTTCTTATTATGTACTAGTGCCCGTATTATCTCGGGTTAGAGAATTTGTATATTTTCAATAAATTATTACCCCACTCTAAATAACTTTTTTCAATTTTTTTTGTCAGACGGAGATTCGGTAATAAGTTTTTTCCAGAAAACACATTAAAAAAAAATAGAACTTAAATTGGTTGACATACAGAAGAAAAATTGAGCGTTAAGCGGTTAAAAGAATACAATATGAAGCGGCATTACTCCAGCAAGCATTTCGCTCAATATAATTTACTCACGGGCCAGTTAAGAAAGCGTAAAAAATTTTTCTTGCCTACAGCCCGCGACCTGATTAAGTCTCGAAATTACGCCCTCAGCTAAACAAGGATTGCCCATACCTGCTATAAAATATAGGTAGAGCGTCCTATTAAAAAGGTGTTATAGGTCTGTCAAACATGGCTCAAAAAATAGAAAATTGGCAGAAAAGTTTCATCATTTTGGGATACAGTGTGTTTTTTTAAAAAAAAGTATTTTACTCACGACATAGGTTTTTACTATTAACTACAGCAACTAGAAGGGCCAAAAAAATCAATTTAAAGAGAAACGTGAAAGTCTCCGATTTGATTTATCCTACAATTGCATTATTTATTTACTTCGAAAACGTAGGAACACATTTCTGAGACATAGCAGTGCAACAGGTGCTCCTAGTTAACGCTATGGCAACGACAGCGTTACAATCCCCAGAGACCGGTCTATCGCGGGTTTCAACAGTCCAAACGGCGTTACATAAGACCAATTTACCGGCGCATTATCAATACCAGCGAGATATCAAGGCAATTAGCTGTGGAACGGTCGCGATAAAATTCCGCGTCGGCACAAAAATCGAAAGTAATTTAATTTCAATAAAATCAAGTTGTCTGCCAATGGCGGCTAACAATCATAGATTGTTGACATTTGTTTTCCATTCTTTATTCGGATCGGGTAGCGAAGACGGCCTTGCGGGGCCGCGCCCGTCTGCGCTTAGAATCACAATCGAATCGCCTCAGAAAACTTGAAAAAGTCGAAAGCTTTCTTCCTGCATGCCCACCTGGGTGCGCTAGACAAGGACGGGCGACACGGAGCGGTCCGCTAGATTGCTGCTACGCCGCCCGACGCTGCAAATGCGACGTTTGGGACGCCACGGATATTTCTACAGGGTGTCAAAATAATGTCATAATAGAAACCAATACGATTTTCTTTTTTATTTCATTGTCATGTCAACAAAATACTCTTGTTAGTAGAACTGTCATAATTAACCGCGCACCATAGGCGTGCGGATCATCGACATAAAATATACTGAACAATGATTATAACATTTATGTCATTGTATCATTGTGAAACACGTAAATTGTTTTAGGCATCGTTGCCATCGGTTCCACAATATGGATGAAATCCGTTATAGATCGCATCATCATTATTCGCGGCGGTGTCAAATATCTTAATCTGAAGAGAACGACCATTTGACATCTATTGTACTTCCAAGCTGGTGCGACATGGTAATTTCTACTCGTAGTTGTATTTATTCCAGGAGAAATGAAGCTACGTGCAATCAGTATGAAAATTAAACCAAACAAATTGAGTCCTTGTTTTCGACCAATCGTGTATGCACTGTTTAACACTTATTACTTTATGTTTATTAATCTTTATTTTAAACTTTCTTATACATATACAAGTATATGTATTATTATGATTTTTTGGATGTGCTTTCTTTTAATTTTAATTTTGTATTATTTTATTTTATGTTATGGGCGCCTTTATGTTATTTAAATTTGTTATTATTTGAATATTTGAATGTTTTAGATATTCGATTATGTAGAGCAAGGATAAGGGTTCCAAATTATTTTTATTATTTATCTTTTTTGTTATTTATTTGCAATTGTTGTACTAACTCTAAATAAATGAAATTTCCGCCTT